CAAAATGGACTTTTCAAAGGCTATAACATAAACCAAGGTTCAAGGTTCTAAAAGAAAAGATAAATAGACCTAAAAATATGTGCTTGAAGGTAATCAAACTAAGGATCATTTCTTCTTTCAAAGAAATTCCTTTCCACATTTTCATCTTTATTTTTTCATTTATTTTTTCTCTTTTTTATTTCTCTTCTACTTTTATTTTTTCTTTCATGTTTCCATTCTAACAAATTGAGCCCAAAATTTTGGAACTTACCTTTTAACTATAAATATTCTTTTCTTGTCTTTAACTTTAGATATACTTTTTTTCAAATAAATCCTCTTTCATAATTGCCCCCAATGTAGGGGGTGAACCTTGTTAGGGTTTCCTAAAAAGGAATTCAATAAATTCAAAAAAGGTAGCAAATGGATTTTTTTTTTTATGAAGAGAATATGAAATATGGTTATTTTTCATAGAAAATATAGATACCTCTATTGAAAAGTAATTCTTAGGAGAAGAAATTTTTTCTCTTTGATTTTGAAATCATTTGGATATCTCATTTGCATGATGTTACAATCAATTTTTTTTCTTTTCATTTTTCTTTTGCTCATTTTTTTTTACAACTCAAACTCAAAATATATCATCTTACTACATCAAATCAAGTCCCAATGTAACAATCTTCATTTTTGCAATGACACCAAATGTTCATGCAATCTCCATTCAATAAAAAAAATGAAATGAATGCCATCCAGATCAAAAGATATTGTAAAAATTGAATAATTTGGCATTTTGGTAATTTTGCCTCAAGATGTGGGTAAAGGAAAATTTTTGGGCAATGAGTGAAAGAGAAAAGGAATGTTGCACAAATCAAGATGTTGAACAAGGATATTGATGGGATATGACTTTTTCAATAATTATGCCTTAAGGAAGAAATTGAAAAGTTTGAACTTTGTGAAGAAACTTGGGTAGTGATATGTTTGGAATAGTCTTTACACTTATCAAATTATCAAAATCTAGAATTTTTAAGTGAGTACCGCATGTATTATCTTACAAAAAAATTTTCAAAAAAGATTTTATAAATTTCATTGCTCATAGCCTTAATGAAAATCATTAACTTAAAATCCTTTTTTGTCAAAAAAAAATCAAGATCATGGGATTTGAGAAGTCAAGCTTTAAATGCTATGATCTTCAACTAAATTGGGGTATGAAATGGTAAATGAAATAGCTAGATATGATCTTTCTTGACAATAATCACCAATTCTCTTAAGATTGTTTCCACAAAAGTTTTTTCTCTACAAAAACATTTTTCAACCATGGAAAGAAATCATATGAATCTCAAACAATATTACATTTAAAAGGATGAAGAAAATATATACAATACCTATCTTCACAACATAATGAAAACAAGAATTCATATTTAAAACTTATGTACCAAAACTAAAAAACAAAAATTGCCCTAAACAAATGAAATAATGCAAAAAAAAATGTTTACATAGATAAAAAATGTATATGCAAATAAATGTATGCAATACATAGAAAAATAAAAACTTATATTCAAAACTATGTACAAAACTATAAAAGGTAATGATTCTTCCAAACAAATGAAATAATGTACATACATAGATGCTTACATAGATAAAAAAAAATTGCAGATGCAAATACATGTATGCAATGCATAATGAAAACAAGAATTTGTATTCAAAATATGTACAAAACTAAAAAGGCAAAGATTGCCTCCAAATGAATGAAATAATGTACACAAAAAGATGTTTACGTGGATAACAAAATGTATATGCAAATACATATATGCAATGCATAATAAAAACAAGAATTTGTATTCAAAACTATAGACAAAACTGAAAAGGCAAAGATTGCTTTCAAACAAATGAAATAATATACATACAAAAATTTTTACATGGATAAAAAATGTATATGCAAATACATGTATACAATGCATAGTAAAACAAGAACTCTATTTCAAAACTATTTACAAAACTAAAAAGGCAAAGATTGCCCCCAAACAAATGAAATAACGTACATATAAAAATATTTGCGTTGATAAAAATGTGTATGCAAATGTATGCAAATTCATATTCATAATTATGTAGAAAATTGAAAAAGTAAAAAAAAATACTATCTAATTTACAATTTGACATTCACATCTTTTTATATATGAAAAAGTAAAATGGAAGACAACAAAAATATATGTACAAATGCATGTATATAATGGATATGATCCTAGATCATATAACAAGAAGATAATACATTTTGATTTTTCACCTATTTTTCTCTTTTTTTAAATTTTTTTTAAAGAAGAAAAAATTATAAAAATATTTTCATTTTTGTACAAGTTCAAAATTATCTTAACAAAACATAAATATATATATAAAAAAAAGGTGAATGACAAAATAAGTCACTTCATGTATCATTTTTTAGGGTTTTCTATACAAAGGGGAATGGTAGGGTTCTAGCTTAAGGTTAGATTCTTAAGGTTTATTTACATGCTAAGTTCAAAAGTTTTGACAATCTAAAAGCTCCTAAATTGCTTCTTATACCATTGTCTATTATAAACTAGTAAGACATCACAATCTTCGTCCACCATTATAAACTCAAACTAAAAAAGTTCAATTCGAGTGAGATTTTTCTCTAACTTGCATAGAGATTATCACCTCATTAAAGTGTAGATACTTACTTCCTCTTAAGAAAGAGCAAAGTTTAGGTCTAAAGCTTATGCATATATATTGTGTGTGAAGGACCATGCCAATCCAAATAATCAAATAAATTAGTGCACATGAAGAATCAAAATCTATAAAATAAACAAATAAATTAGTACATATAAAAAATCATAAGCCACAAAATAAACAAATAAGTTAGTGCACATGAGAAATCATAAATAATTACACAGTAAAACCATCAAAGCAAAGCTTAAGTTAATACACAACTAACAATGGCTTAACTCTCTAATGTCTCTAGTGGAATCACCAAACTATCATAACATTTAAGTCTGATAACCTACCCATTAGATACAAAAAATATATATATGGAGTCATGACCAATCTTTTTTATCTAGGTGTGATTGGTCACTTATGTGAATCTATTCTTAAGGCTATCCTAAATTTGACTAAAGATTCATAAAAAAAATAGATTTTGATCTATATCAATGAACTAAGTTTGGGAGTCAGTTACATGTAGGAAAGGTTTTGGCACCCCCATAACAACCAAAATTGGTACTAAGTTAATCTTATGTTATCATGTCTAAACCTTAATTCAAATAGTTTTTATTCATCTTTATTTATTTACAAAATATTAATTATAAATAATGATACAATTATATTTTCAACTTTCTAATTATAAAATAATATATTTACACTTTTCTAAAAAAAAAAATTCAATGTTAATTTACATCAATTAAATCAATAAATCAATAGATAAAAAAAAAATCAAAATAAATAAATAAATAATGAATAAATAAATATAGAAATAAATAAATAAGTTAAAAAAACTAGCAAAACAAAATATCACAAACATCATACTAAGCCACATTAGACAACAAATAAATAAAAATAAAAATAAAAGTGTACCTAACCAATGTTCTTGGGTCAACTTGAACTAAAATTTACTACTAAAAAAATTTTTTGCTTGACTCTGTTTACTTTAATATTATGTATATTGCTCTCTCTTCTTTTGCTTGGTGATTCTTTTTCTCCCTTTGGCTGAGAACTTCTTTCTCAAAATTCAAAGCTTTTTGTTGCTTGATGATTGTTGATTATGTGCCTTCTTCTTTCTTTGACTATTAGTGATTTATAATTGAGCTATTTATATAGGGATTGAATCCATTTTTAATTTGAAAAATTTTAATATCAACTAAAATTATCAATATCTTGCCAAAATTTCTTTTCCTTCTTGTAGAAACTTAATTCCCAAGAATTACCAAAATTAAACTTAATTTTTAAATTTCAAATCTAAATAAAATCACAATGTTTAAAAAATCAAAATTTATGTTCATTTTTTTTACTAAATAACAATACATAAATAAAAATAAAAAATACGTTTTGGCCTTTAAATTTCGGCTTAAAAATGACTTTTAAAATCCAATATCAAAATGTAATTCCAAACCAAATAATATAAAAAAAGATCCCAACAAAAATAAATATCTACACGCACTTACAATATTTTCTCTTATAAAAATATGTGAACATTTTTTACAATTGAGAGATGCCAAAATGCTATAAGCTAAAAACAAGAACAATATTGGACCTTTTGCAATATGATTTCAGAACTTCTAATTGTAAATATACATGCTCAAAATTTTTCAAGAAAAAAAAAAACCTTATAAGATGAAAAAAAAAAATTGGTAATTAAAAAAATGAAAATTGCATCATGCCATGTATTTTTGTTTCTTTGAGACATATTTATATATGGAAAATTTTATTCTATGTCAATGTTAACCTTGTTAATTTGTTATTTTTTAATTTTTTTCGAAAGAAAGATTTAATTGAGTTTGTACAAATAACAATTAAAGGATTCAATTGATTAAAATAAAAATAAGAGAGCTGAGATGATAGCTTAAAGTATAGGGATAGTTTTGTATTTTAACAAAAACAGAAAATTTTTGTTCGTTATAAACAAACCATGAAAATTGCCAATGCCTACAATATTAGTTTATTCAAAGGAAGTTCCATATTAGTTTTTCCTTTTTGTTTTTCTTCGTCGGCCGTTTCAAGAAAGGGCTTTTCATCATCTGGTTTTCAAAGAAAAAGGCTCATTTTCTTGAAGAAATTACGAAGAATTGGAGTTTCATCGTTGAAGCCTAAAGTCATGGAGAATTCTGCAGAGAAGATTGGCAACAACCGTGATATCTTAAACCAACTCCTCCTCAGAATACCCACAAAATCACTCCTCAAATTCAACTGTGTCTCAAAGCAATGGCTCAGTATCATTTCCAACCCTCAGTTCTGTCTCTCCCACACCCGCTACCTCCAACACAATGGGTTTCTAGCCTACAGCCCTTCTGCTCACAACTTACATGACATCCCCTGAATTCGATGTGGTTCCTTTGAAGCATTACAGTGAAGTCCCCTTCTTTCATTTTCTTAATGCCTCTCCCATCATCTTTCGGCAATCTTGTAATGGGTTGTTTCTTTTCGAGGCCCTTGATTTTCATGAAGATGATGAAAGAGATGACATTGCCAGGTACTCCATCTGCAACCCAACTACTAAGAAATTCAAGATTCTATTTGTTGGTAGGAACCCAGTTAAAAAGGTCAGCTTTTTGTCAGTTTGGCTTTTGATCTTCTCAAATCACCTCATTACAAGGTTATTTGTATTCAGGGAGTGTCCGATAAGGATTATGACTTCGAGATCGATATATATTCGTCAGAAACTGATTCTTGGACTATAACTGGAATTGGTTTCGAAGCGGACGAAGGGAGCATAGTGTTTGAAGAGTCCTATGTTTTCTGTAATGCAAAGATTCATTCGGATAGTTTCAAAAACGAGTCACTCTATTTTGATGTAGAGAAGGAATGCTTGCAAAAAATGCCAATGCCAACACTACTAGACGGAAGCGATATAATTGATCACATGGATAGATATTTTGGAGAGGCTAGGGGCACTTTGTATATTGCACTGGCCTACAACGAGCTCGGTCATTTAGTTTTATATGTTTTTGAGATGGCAACAGATTACTCTAATTGGTTCCTAAAGCGACTCCGGGATCTTGGTGACGCAATGAGAGTTTTTCCTGAGATAAACTTGGGTTGTCCTCCTTTCTATTCTTACGGATACTCGGTTATGTGTTTCATTCATTCAGAGAAAGAAGAAGAACCAAAAGTGGTGCTACGGGCAGATGGCAAAATAATTTGCTATGATTTCAATGATGTGGCATGGAAAATGCTTTATGATCCAGGGCCTGGTGTCGAAATTGCTCTGACTATTCAAAGTATGCTTTCCATTATTCTTATCAACAAAAATTTATCGCTTATAAATAATTTGAGAACCTCTCTTGTGTTTGAGGGTCTAACAGATTTATACAAAAACCAATGTTCTCTTTCTTATTTTGGTAAGTTTTTGAGTTCCTGTTAGTTGATTTGTTTGTTCTACACATTCTTCTGTGTCTGAACTCCTGTTTTTTAGTTTTTCCTGTTCTACTTCCTGGATATACAATCAAATGCATATTTCTTTACAAGCTCTATACTCTTTGACTTATATGTTTCATGTTCGTGTTGTCTGGATTGGTTTCTGGGAACTAGGTTTTGATCCACATATTATTTGACTATATAATCTCCAATGTATATATGCTTGTTGTAATCTTTTAAATATGTTGAAGGTTCAGGGCCAATATCCTTACATTGGGTTCAAATTTTTATGAGCATTTCTCTTTAGCAAATTCATTTTACTCCAGAGAAAAGAGCAGCATGGTCGAATGCTTAGCTAGTCAGCTTGTGTAAGCAGAGCATTGACCTAAACTTTGATAAGATAATCTGTGTGTCTTGTGTTTTTCAACTAGGAAAGAAGAAAATTATCAAATATTTTGTTAATTGTGGACGATAAAGCAATTTCCTATGATTTAAACAATGGATTTTGGAAAAGGCTATCCATCTTTCGAATACATGCGTATTTGCTGATTGTTTAATTTTGGTATTTAAGATTTGAACAAAAACCATAACGTAATCTACACCTAATTAAAATAAGTTTCAAGGAAAACAAAAAGAAGTTAGATTGATAAGAAAAAAAAATGCCTAGGGCTCTTCCATTTGTCATCATGTTGTAAGCACTTGAACCTTCAACTCATTGCTTAATTAATCACGTGACCATCTTCCCCATCTCTAACCTTGATCATGGCAAAACCAACCTTTGATTCCGGTTCGATGCGAAACGACCAAACCTGTACCACCGCCTTCGGCTTAAGACTATCGGCATTTTTCTTTACAATTTTACCCCACTGACTCTTGAAAACATATGACCAGCCCGCTCCAATCCGCCACTTGGTCAAGCGCAACATCGATACCTCAAGACATGGTTCAACAAATACAGCTTCTATTGACTGTTTTTTCCCTAATCTTTCATCCTCAGCTTCACTCAAGAATTTACTTATAACTTGGTTCTCTGTCATTGACAAACGATTTTCCCTCGGATCCAAATCAGAAACTTGAATAAACTTTTGAATAACCAGCATTATTTCAGTCCCACCCAAGTTCTCAATGCAATTCTTGAACGCTTCTGGCATATCGGGGGGCGGTTCCAAACCCAAAGCAGTAAGCTCTGCAACAATGGGATCGGGTCTCTTCTTCTGATTCTGCTTCTTCTCATTGTTTTTGTTTGTCTTCTGCTTCTTCTCCATATTGTCATTGTTGCCTGTCTTCTGTTTCTTTTGCGTCCTGATCATGTACTCTTCGTTTTCTTCTTGAAAAGAACTACGACTTCCACTTCCAGGACAACGTTTGATACCCTTTGTCTCAATGATCATCTTCTTCTTATTCCCTGTGGCATGTTCCTTGGCTAAGCGTTTTATAAACCCTTCCAGTACAATCTCAGTTAGTTTGCTTAGCCGCTGGCTTTCATCATCTGTCACTGCTTCAACCTCCTTCTTGAGTTTCTTCCATGAATCACCATCATCAACATTCTCCAAACCTTTTAACGTCAACATCTTCAATCGAATTTTCCCAACTTCTTCAAGAACTCAGTAATGGCAGATTTTGTTAAGAAAAACTTTGAAAGAAATAATATGGGTGTGAGTAATTTGTCTAAGACCGCCTCTTAATATATATATATATATATATATATATAGAGAGAGAGAGAGAGAGAGGTTTCGATTCCTAATCCTTGGTGGAATAGACTTACTTCTAAGAAGTAACGTGGTGACAAAGTTCTTGATGATGGCTTCGAACTTCCAACGCTGCTAGGATTTCTAAGTTTAAGATTTTCTAGTTTCCTTTTTCTTTTTTTCTTTTTTTTTTTTGGGAGGGGGGGGGGGGAATCTAGTTTCATAAGCTTATGCATATAAACAAAAATTATATGAAATTTGATAGATAAATTCATGAAATTCTTTATTAGAAATGAGTAAATAAAAATTTTAATAAAAAATTCAAATCAATAAATTGATAGAATTTAATGTGAAGATCTATAAAAATTATTAAAAATATTTTTTATAATTTAAATTTGATCGATACTTATTAAATAGTAAAAAATTCTATTAATATTTTTATTAAAAATATTTATTTAATAAATTATCAAAATTTATTTAAAATTTTTTAAATTTTGCATGTTGGATCTATATGATGAAATCTTTTCATCTATCAATTTTAATTTTCGATTTTAATTATTATTTACTCATTTCTAATAAAAAATTTTGCCAACTTCACCTATAAATGAAATTTCATGTAAGTCTCTCCCTAATACATGTAGGGAAATATATTCTTTCTATTTATTTTGTCATATGTAAGTCTTTTATTATTCTATCTTTTTGATAAATATATTACATACTAATTAATTTCTTTAACGTTTGTATATTTAATTAATTGCATCTCAAAGATAATCTTAAGTATTAAATCTCTTCATATACAAAAGGAATTACACAGTTTTAAATATCTTCTTTATTTTCTTAAAAAAAAAAAATCTTTAATCAAGAATGGTAGGTTCAACTGGCAAAAAAAGATGTGTTCCATTTTTTTATTATTTGGGTTCAAATCCCTTGAAAGATTGTAGAAAAGTAATTTCATACTCATAAATAAACCTATTTGGATTTACCCGAAAAAGATAATTTCTTATGAATTTACTAAATTTGCAATCCAAATATATATATATATATATATATTTTGTTGATATCCTAAAATTTCTAACCGCCAAATAAAAAAATATTTTCATTCATTGCAAGAATCCAAATATATTTATATTACAAAAGAAATTTTTGTGACTTAAAAAGAAAGTGTGAGATGGAACAAAAAGTTTAGATTAATAAATGGTAAAAGATCACAAGTCAACAAAATTTTTAAGTATTTCATAATGTTTGATCTATTTTGCTTGGATTGAAGGTTAAATAGTTTATTTCATTCCATTGTCCTAATATTATCCAATCATAAAATAATTACTTATGAATGGAGGACTTAATTTATAGTCATTATTAAGAAGTGACATTCAATATTACAATATTTAAAGCTTAACACTTGTAATAAATTTGGAGTTCAAAGCCTAATACCTGCAATTTTTTTTTTATTATTCTTAAACCATGATTTGCTTTGCATAAAAATAAATATATGATTACTTGTGATGAAAAAAATTTAATTCTACTTGATTTTTTCTTGTTATTTGAGAGATTCAAACCCTGTTAATTGAGTAGGAGACCATGTACTAAGCACTTAATCAAATGCTTGTATGCCATTAAACTTGAATTCTTAGCTGTGGAATATGCATTATGACTAGAGGTGATAAAAACTGACCTGACCAGAAAATTTTATTTGATTGACTTTAACCATGATTTGATTAAAAAAGTAAAAAATAAAAATCTGATCTTATTCGAATTTGAATTAATTTGAAATCAAATTATCTCGATTTCAAATTAACCCTAAACCGACCTAATTAAAATTTAAATTGATTTTAACCTAATTCGATTTGAATTCAAATTAATTGAAACTGAATTGACTCAAATCAAAATCCGAAAGACCTAACATTGAATGTTGGATTGAAATTAAATTGGAGAGCTTTTATTTTTAATAAAATTTTACATTTTAAGAGGAAAACAAAATATCAATAGACAAAATGTGATCAATTGATTAATTTAATTTAATATATCAAATTAAATTTTGAAAAAAAAAACTAAAAAAATTATTAAAAATTTAAAAATGTTTTTTTTTCAAAAAAATTTTAACATAAAAATAGATTTTTAACTTTTATATTAAAGTTTGGATTGAAATTAAATTGGAGGGCTTTTATTTTTAATAAAATTTTACATTTTCAGAGGAAAACAAAATATCAATAGAAAAAATGTGATAAATTGATTAATTTAATTTAATATATCAAATTAAATTTTGAAAAAAAAAACTAAAAAAATTATTAAAAATTTAAAAATGTTTTTTTTTTCAAAAAAATTTTAACATAAAAATAAATTTTTAAATTTTATATTAAAAATCTATTTTTTATGTAAAAATTTTATTTTTGAAAAGAAAAATCTACAATTTTTTCCTTAAAATTTTTATGTTTCAAATTTAAAAAAAGCAAAATTAAAAAAAAAAAGCTGCAAAAAATTAAAAATTTTATTTTATGAATATTTTATTTTTTAAGAAAATAAAAAACAAATATTTTTTATTTTTTTGAAAAATAAAATTTTAAAATAAAAATAGATTTTTTTAATTTATGAAAAAAATTTAACTCTTTCATGATTCTCTTTTCTACTTTTTTTTATGTTTATTTTTTTCACTTTTTGATTTTTTCTAAAGTAATTTTAATTTATAATAAACGTTATATTCATTTTGTATAAAAGGTTTGTATAAACAAGGGCTTATATCATTCACGTAGGATGCCAATTGCGTAACCCAAATGGCCGTTAATCTCATTTAACGGAATTAAGCTTAATTATATAATTTTAAAAAGTTATGGTTTATTTATAATAAAATAATAGATTGTAAACTTATTTGCATGCAACAAACGATTGAGAGTATATATTCATTTTGTACAAAAAGATGAGGGCATGTTTGAGCATTATTATTTGAATGCCCATTTAGAAAAATATAGAAAATCAAAAAAACAATAAAGGAAGAATTGGATTCAAAATTTTTTGGAAAGAAAGAACATCAAAGAATTAAGGAAAATAAAAAAAAAATCACTAACTTTTTTGAAATACTTAGATCCCAAGAAAAAAAGGAAAAAAAAAAAAAAGAATCAGAATCAAATCTACCTCTTAACAAATCTACTCTTCATTTATGGAACCTTATTTTCTTTTTTTTGTTTTTGAAAAATCTCGATTTAAACAATCGGTGGAGGAAAGAAGGTTTTCAAAGGTGGCAGCCATGAAGTTTGATCTTAGATCTAGATTGATTTAAGAAATTTTTGAAAAATTTAAACAGAGATAAGAAAAGAAGTGGATATGAAAAAATTTTTGATGAATTTTTTTGTTAATTAGAAAAACCAATGAAAATTGCGTCATGCCATGAATTTTTATTCTACATCACCGATGTTATGTAACAATCTTATCTTAGTCGTTATAGAAGATTAATGTTGTTAATTTGACACTTTTCTCGAAAGAGATTTAATTTAGTATATATAAAAAATAATTGAAGGATTCAATGGATTAAAATAAAAATACGAGGGCATAGATGATAGGATTAATTAAGTATAGGGACATGTTTTGTATTTTAACCAGAACAGAAAATTTTTTGTTAATTATAAACAAAGCATGAAAATTGCCAGCGCCTCCGAATAACTATAAGAAAAAGAAGTTTGATTTTAGTTTTTCCTTTCCGTTTTTCTCCTTGTAGCTTTTCAAGAAAGTGCTTTCTGGCTTTTCAAGAAAAACGAAATTACAAAGAATTGGGGTTTCAACGTTGAAGCCTAAAGTCATGGAGAATTCTGCTGAGAAGATTGGCAACAGCCAAGATATCTTAACCCATCTCCTCCTCAGATTACCCACAAAATCACTCCTCAAATTCAAGTGTGTCTCAAAACAGTGGCTCAGTACCATTTCGAACCCTCAGTTCTGTCTCTCCCACACTCGCCACCGCCAACACAACGGGTTTCTCGAGCCTACTGCACTTCTGCTCAAACCTTACCTCACAGCAAACCTCGAATTCGATATGGTTCCTTTGAAGCATTACAGTGAAGTCCCCTTCTTTCATTATCTTAATACCTCTGGCATCATCTTGAGGGAATCTTGTGATGGGTTGTTTCTTTGCCAGCCCCTTGATTTTCATGATCATGGAGATACCAGATTCTTCATCTGCAACCCAACCACTAAGAAATTCAAGATTCTATCTTTTCCTAGTAAGCCACCGACTTTTGTTAATTTGGCTTTTGATCCTCTCAAATCACTTCATTACAAGGTTATTTGTATTCGGCCAGCAGTGTCGGACGAGGATTATGACTTTGAGATCAATATATATTCGTCAGAAACTGAAACTTGGACTGCAACGGGAATTGATTTTGAAGCGGACGAGGAAAGCATAATGTTTGAGGGCATAATGTTTGAGGACACCGTTGTTTTCTGTAATGGAAAGATTCATTGGGATAGTGTCGGAAACGAGTCACTGTATTTTGACGTAGAGAAGGAATGCTTGCAAAAAATGCCGATGCCAACGCTACCAGACGGAAGCGATATAATTTCTGATATGGACAGATATTTTGGAGAGGCTAGGGGCACTTTGTATATTGCACTGGCCCACTACAACCTCGGTCATGTAGATTTATATGTTTTTGAGATGGCAACAGATTATTCTAATTGGTTCCTAAAGCGACGCCTGGATCTTGATGATGCAATGAGAGTTTTTCCTGAGATAAAATTGGGTTGTCTTCTCTCATTTTCTGGACTTTCGGGTTTGTGTTTCATTCAATCAGAGAAAGAAAAAGAGCCAAAGGTGGTGATGTGGGCAGATGGTAAAATAATTTGCTATGATTTCAATGATGGGTCATGGAAAATGCTGTATGATCCAGGGCCTGGTGTCAAAATCGGCTCCAATCAAATAAAAGGTTTGAATCATTTACATAGACAAAGATTTCTTGCTTTTAAATACTTTGAGAACCTCTCTTGTATTTGAGGGTCTAACAGATTTGTACGAACACCAATGTTCTCTTTCTTATTTTGGTGAGAACTTGAGAATTATTCTGTTCACCTGATGATGTTTTAGCTATTCAGTTTTTTTAGTACAACAAATCCTTATTACATAAAGAGTTCTTGTTAATTGATTAGTTTGATATTCTCCAGTCTCTAATTAAACTCCTGCTTTTCATATATAGGTTTACTGTTTTCCTTTCTCTGGATATATACCCTAATGCATATATCTTTACAAGCTCTCTCCTCCTTGACTTAAATGTTTCATGTTTATGTTGTTTGCATTGCTTTTTGGGAACTAGGTTTTGGTCCACATATTGTTTGACTTTATAATCTCCAATGTATATATGCTTGTTGTAAACTTTTACATACATTGACGGGTTGAAGGCCAATATCATTACTTTCGACCAAATTCTGAAGAGGATTTTGAAATTTTTACCATGAAGTTTAAGTCATCAATTTGTTGAAGCATTTCTCCTTAGCATATTCATTTTTCTCCATAGAAAAGAGCAGCTTGATCCAATGCTCAGCTAGTCATGTTGCGTAAGCAGCATTGACCTAAACTTTGATAAGATATTCTTTGGTTCATGTGTTTTTCAATCCAGGAAAGAAGAAAATTGTCAAATATTTTGTTAATTGTTGATGGCAAAGCAATTTCCTATGATTTAAACAATGGGACTTGAAAAAAGCATGACTAAAATTAAGGAACTTTATCATCAGACTACATATGTAAATCTAAACCGACTAAAAGGTAACCTACAAGCTATATATGAAAGTAAAAGTTTTTAGCAACAAGATAAGAGGAAGACAAAACAAAAACTAAATATTTGAACAATTTAAACGGCAAAAACCATAGATAAAATGACCTACTTGCAGAAAATAAGTAGATTCCATTTGAAATATATATATATATATATATATATCAAACATAAAGTAATTTACACCAAATTAACATAAGTTTAAAGGAAAACAAAAAGAAGTTGTAATCACTTGAACCTTCAACTCATTGCTTAATTAATCGCGCGACCATCTTCCCCATCTCTAATCTTGATCATGGCAAAACCAAGCTTTAATTCCTGTTCGATGCCAAACGACCAAACCTGTACCACCGCCTTCGACTCGAGACTATCGGTATTTTTCGTCACAATGTCACTCCACTGACTGTTGAAAACATATGACCAGCCCTCTCCGATGCGCCACTTGGTCAAGCGCAACATAGATACCTCAAGACATGGTTCAACAAATGCAGCTTCTATTGATTGTTTATTCTCTAATTTTGCAGCCTCAGCTTCACTTAAAATGCATGTAGGAAAATATATTCTTTTATTTTTCATATGCAACTCTCTTATTGTTTATTTAATTACCTATTCTATCTTTTTATAAATATATTACATATTAATTAATTTCTTTAACGTTTATATACTTAATTAATTGCATTTCAAGGATAATAGCAACTAACTTTAACTATAACTCTCTATATATATACAAAAGAATTTACAAAGTTTTAAAATTAAAATACCTTCCTTCATTTTCTTTCAAAAAAATTCTTCATTCATTATCAGAATCCAAATATATTGTTCCTACAAAAGAAATTTTGTGACCAAAAAAAAAAAGTATGAGATAGAAAAAAGGATTAGATTAATAAATGGTAAAAGATCACAAGTCAATAGAATTGTTAGTACTTCATATTTGATTTATTTGTTTGGAATGGAGGTAAATTAGTTTCTTCTTGTCCTAATATATATTAACTTAGCTCTTTGTCATAAAATGCTTATTATCCAGAGGTACTAGACTTTCTTTGCATAAAAAATATTACTCTCAATTAATAAAATTTAATTCTACTTGAATTCTTTTTTTATTTGAGGGACTCAAAAGATCATGCACTAACCACATAACTAAATGCTTGTTTACAATTCAACTTGAATTTTTAGTTGTAGAAGATACATTATGATTAAAGGTGATAAAAATTGAGTCGATCCCATTCATTCACTCGATTGGTTCAAATTCAAACTCAATCAACTCAATTTGATTAAAACAGTAAATAATCTAAACTCACAAGATATAAACTCTAATTAATCCGAATTCAAATTATCTCAAGTTAAAGTTAATTAGATTTTGAATTGATTCGAATCAAAACTAAAATGACGTGACATTAAATTTAGGATTGAAATTAAATTGTAGGCTTTTATTTTTAAGGATTAATATTATTCTTGGTCTTTAAACTTTAAGTCAAATTTTATTTTTTATTTTAATCATTAATCTTTAGAAAGTTTTAATTGAATCCTTAATCATCAAAATTATCTTATTTTGGTTCTTTCATCTATGTAAATCATATAAATTGACGGTAAGTGCCAATTGACATCACGTGAATTGCGTCAATTGGAATCTCATATGATAGATGAAAGATCTTTTCTATTTGCAGATATTCCATTTTATTTAGGGTCTTTTTAATTTTTTAATTTACCCCTGACGTCTACCTATTTGACTGGAAAAAAAAAATTACGTACCTAAATTTCTTGAACCCGCAATCAATTGACTTATTTTGGGCCTTTGAAAAGAATTTTCAAGATAATTTCAATTAAATCGAGCTCAATTGTGAAACCAATTACTTTATTTGATTTTGCATTTGTATTCCAGTCTATATTAAATGTGATTTTTAAAGTTGTTATATCTATTTATATTGAAATTCACCGATTGAGCCTTTTTTCTCTTTTTTTTCTTCGGCCTTTGGGACTTGCTTTTGAATCCAAATCCATTAAATTAACTTTGAAATTGTTAATTGGACCTTAAAACCTAAATATAGGTAGGCATGTCTATTTATTTATTTATTTATTTATTTTATTATTATTATTATATCTTTATTTATTTTTTATTATTATTTTTATGACTATTTAGAAAAAAATAAAAAATAAAGAATTAGATTCAAACTTTTTGCAAAGATTGAAGATCCAAGAATTAAGAAAAATAAAAAATCCAGTACATTTTTTTTAAATACTTGGGTCCCAAAAACAAAAAGAAAATGAAAAAAATATAATAATATTTGACAGATCCAATCACTCCTTTTACGAAACCATAGAATTTTTCTATAAAAAAAATATTTATTTAAACAATCGAGAATCAACAATCACACACAAGTAATACATAATCATATACAGTAATTTGCACAAATAATTCCACACATAATTCATTAGCAAAGAAAGTTCTTTAAAAAAAAAAAATTGGCAGTGAGTTCTTAATTTGGTTTGAGGATTTTTTTTTTTTTTAAATGTGGGTTTTTTCTTTTGTAGTTCTAAATGGAAGGAGATCGAGGGGGAAAAAAAGGGGGTAGGGATTTCTTGAAGGCGGTGAGGGCTAAGGTTACAAATTAGGGTTCGGGTTGTTGGGTCATTTGGAGTACTTCAAAGGCAAAAGGAGTAAAGGGACAAAACGAAGAGGATTTTAAAGCTAAAATGGATGGTGGAAGGAAGGTTTTCTAAGGGTGGTAACCATGAGGTTTGATCTTAGATCTAAATGATCTATAAATTTTTTTTTTTGAAAAATTTAATCGAAGAAAAAGAAAGAGGAGAAAAGGAAAATTTTTTGGATGAATTTATTTGGTAATTAAAAAAACCAATGAAAATTGCAGCATGCCATGTATTTTTGTTTCTTTGACACATTTATATATACGGTAAATTTTATTTTATCTCATTTGATGTCATGTGACAATCTGACCTTAGTTGGTAAATAAGGTTAATGTTGTTAGATTAATAATTTTCATCTAAAGAAAGATTTAATTGAGTATATATAAATACCGATTAAATGATTCTAACTGACTGAAACAAATACGTATAGGGACATTAATTGTATTTTAACCAAAGAAAAACTTTTTAGTTAATTATAAAGTTTAAAAGATATAAAATACTCTTAAATTATAATTCAATAATCATTTAAGCTTTTAACATTTTATTACAATCAATCAAATTTTTAATATTTTATTTCGACTTAATTGAATCCTTAATTAAATGAAATTGATAAAATTAAATCGATTAATCCTTAAACTATAGTAATTGAACTTTTAAAGGATGTTAATAAGAGAACGGGAGAGAAAATAAAAGAAAAGAAAAGAAAAGGTTTTATTTTATTTTATTTTCACGTCATATGAAATTTTATCTTAATTAACAAAAATTAATGGTGTTAATTTTTTCATCTAAATAAAAGAATAATTAAATATAAATAAATATTAAAAAAAATTAGTTGACAATAATTAAAATTTTTAAATTTAAATGATTTTTTATTTATTAGTTAAGAGCTTTATATACCTTTTAACCTATTATAAACAAAGCTTGAAAATTGCCAACGCCTACGATAAGTATAATTAAGAAAAAGAAATTTCATTATAGTTTTTCCTTCTTGTTTTTCGTCATCTGGCTTTTCAAGAAAGGGCTTTTCATCATCTGGCATTTCAAGAAAACGATATTTTTTCTTGAAGCAATTAAAAAGAATTGGAGTTTCAACGTTGAAGCCTAAAGTCATGGAGAATTCTGCAGAGAAAATTGGCAACAACCAAGATATCTTAAACCAACTCCTCCTCAGATTACCCACAAAATCACTCCTCAAATTCAAGTGTGTCTCAAAACAATGGCTCAGTACCATTTCCAACCCTCAGTTCTGTCTCTCCCACACTCGCCACCACCAGCACAATGGGTTTCTCGAGCCTACTGCCCTTCTGCTCAAACCTTACCTCGCAGCATACCTTGAATTCGATGTGGCTCCTTTGAAGCATTACAGTGAAGTCCCCTTCTTTCATTATCTTAATAACTCTGGCATCATCTTGCGGCAATCTTGTAATGGGTTGTTTCTTTGCCGGCCCTTTGTTTTTTATGATCATGGAGATGCCAGGTTCTTCATCTGCAACCCAACTACAAAGAAATTTAAGATTCTATCTGTTCCTAGGAGCCCACTTAAAGATTATCTGCTTTTTGTTAGTTTGGCTTTTGATCCTCTCAGATCACCTAATTACAAGATTATTTGTATTCGGGGAGTGTCTGACAAGTATTATGACTTTGAGATCGATATATATTCGTCAGAAACTGATTCTTGGACTGCAACCGGAATTGGTTTTAAAGCGGACGAGGGGAGCATATTGTTTGAGGGCTCGTATGTTTTCTGCAATGGAAAGATTCACTGGGATAGTTTTGAAAACGAATCACTATATTTTGATGTAGAGAAGGAATCTTTGCATAAAATGCCAATGCCAATGCTACCAAATAGAAGCGATATGCTTGAGATGGATAGATATTTTGGAGAGGCCAGGGGCACTTTGTACCTTGCACTAACCTACTACAAGGTGGGTCATTTAGAATTAGATGTTTATGAGATGGCAAGAGATTATTCTCATTGGTTCTTAAAGCGGCGCCTGGATCTTAGTGATGCAATGAAACTTTTTCCTGAGATAAACTTGTTTTCTCTTCCCTTCTTTTCCGGATTTTCGGGTGTGTCTTTTATTCAATCAGAGAAAGAAGAAGAGGCAAAGATTGTGATGTGGGCAGATGGTAAAATATTATGCTATGACTTCAATGATGGAGCATGGAAAATGCTATATGATCCAGGGCCTGGTGTCAAAATCGGCTCCAATTATTCAGAGAACAGTTTCGATCATGTACATCAACCAAGATTTCTCGCTTATAAATACTTTGAGAACCTCTCCTGTATTTGAGGGTCTAACAGATTTCTACAAACACCATGTTCCCTTTCTTATTTTGGTAAGTTTTTGAGAATTATTCTATTCACCTGAGGATGCATGGTTTACCTATTCAGTCTTTTTACTACAACAAATGTTATCACGTAAGAGTTCCAGTTTCATGTTTGTCTTGTTAGCATTGCCTTTTGGGAACTAGGTTTTGACCCACATGTTGTTTGACTATATGATCTCCAATGTATATATGCTTGTTGCGTACTTTTACATGCATTGACGGCTTGAGGGCCAATATCATTACTTTGGTTCAACTTCAAATTCTGACGAGTATTTTGAAATTTTTACCATAAAGTTTAAGGCATCAATTTTGTTGAAGCATTTCTTTTTAGCAAATTCTTTTCTCTATAGAAAAGAGAAGCTTGGTCCAATGCTCAGCTAGTCAACTTGCGAAAGCAGCATTGACCTAAACTTTGATAAGATATTTTCTGTTTCTTGTGTTTTTCAATATAGGAAAGAAGAAAACTAACAAATAATGTGTTAATTGTTGATGGTAAAGCAATTTCCTCTGATTTAAACAATGGAACTTGGAAAAAGCTTTACATCTGCATATTTCATGATTTTTTTTAATATTTAAGACGGTTAAAAATTGAATATTGATCATCGAATTAAAAATAAAACACTCTTCATCAGACTACATGCACATGTAAATCTAAATCGGCTGAAAGGTAGCCTACAAGCTATATATGAAAATAAGAGCTTTTAGGAACAGAACAGTGGGAGACGAAAAAAAAAAAAGAACTAAAGATTTGAACAATCTAAAGGGCGAAAACCATAGATAAAATGAATTACTTGCAGAATTAAGTAGATTCCATTTGAAAAAAATAATAGCAAACGTAAAGTAATCTACACCTAATTAACATAAGTTCAAAGGAAAACAAAAAGAAGTTGTAATTGGTTGAACCTTCAACTCATTGCTTAATTAATCATGTGACCATCTTCCCCATCTCTAATCTTGATCATGGCAAAACCAAGCTTTGATTCCAGTTCGATGCGAAACGACCAAACCTGTACCACCGCCTTCGGCTTGAGACCATCGGCATTTTCGTCCCAATGTCACTCCACTTACTCTTGAAAACATATAACCAGCCCGCTCCGATGCGCCACTTGGTCAAGCACAACATAGATACCTCTAGACATGGTTCAACAAATACATCTTCTATTGATTGTTTATTCTCCAATTTTTCATCCTCAGCTTCACTTAAAAATTTACTCCTGACTTGGTTCTCTGTCGCCGACAAACGATTTTGCTGCCGGTTCAAATCAGTAACTTGAATAAACTTTTGAATAACCAGCATTATTTCAGTCCCGCCCAAGTTCTCAATGCAATTCTTGAACGCTTCTGGCATATCGGGGGCGGTTCCAAACCCAAAGCAGTAAGCTCTACATCAATGGGATCGTGTCCGTTCTTCTGATTCTCATTCTTTTTGGCTGTCTTCTGCTTCTGCATCTTCTCATTGTTGTTGCTTGTCTTCTGCTTCTTCTCGTTGTCATTGTTGCCTGTCTTCTGCTTCTTTTGCTTCCTGATCACGTTGTAGATGAATTTTAGTGAAAGGAGAAAATAATCATTAAAAACATTAGAGTAAAAATCATATTAATAAAAAAATTTAAATTATTTAACATTTATAAAATTAAAAAATTAATGGTTTTGCTAATAAAAATTAAAAATAAAAATAGTAATAGAATTAATAAAAATTATTTATTATATGAAATTAATAAAAGAATTTTATAATTTTTAAATAAAAAATAAAAATAATTAAAAAAAAAATGTTAAATTATAAGAAATATTATTGTCTTTGTAATATAATGCAAATGTGAAGGGAAAAAAAACCCAAAATTAATGATCATTTCCCCTCTAGACCAATTTCTACCGATAAAAAAAAAAAAAAAAAAAAGAGCTACATTGCGATTAATATATTCAGCTGAATCGTTATCATGCCTCCCGAATGAATCTTCAGTAGCTTTTAAAGATACAATCGGCACTAATCATAGGTGTGATTACACCCAAATTGACCCTTAGTTGGCAAAGAAGGTTAGCCATGTTAATTTACATGATATAATTCATCTAAAGAAAAGTTTAATTGGAATAAATAACAATTAAAAACCAAATTATTGTAATAAAAAAGATAAAGATTAAAATAATAGTTTTAATTTAAATAGGGTAAATTATAAGATTGATCACTAACTTTTTCAAGTATTTTATTTTGGTGATTCAACCATAAAAGATTAAATGTTTATGATTTTTTTTTTCACCTAATTGTTAATAACTAACGAAAGATTAACATGGTATTATTACATCATTTGACATTCATCATGTAACAATTGCCGAGTCATTTGTTGTTTGTCAAGTGATATTGTCAAATGTAACATTATAAATTTTATATATTAAAAAAGAAAACTACATTTGTACCACTTAATTTTTCAAGAGTTTTTATTTTGGTCATTAAATTTTGAAAGTTTCACAAATCGATCATCAACATTTTGTTAAATTTATAAAAATTTTAGTTTCCATAATCAACATCTCACTGTCGACATGATTTTATAATAATTTAATCATCAACGTTGTTTATGAAATTAATATAATAAATTATTTTTTTCATTATTATTTATGTTAAAATATCGTAAAATAATATTAAAATAAACTCTTGAATATTATAAAAAATAGAAATAAACCTTTAATCTTTTTATTATATGGAATTAAAACTATAAATTTTTATTTTATTATAATTAACCCATTAAATTTGAAAACTAGATAAATAAATTCAATTGATAAAATTTTTAAAATAACAATATTTCATGTACTTGTCATTCAATTCATTCAAATGAATTCAAATATTATCTATACATTAATTATATCAATCAACTAAGAAAATTTCAAGAAAATATGAAATATTTCGTAATGTTAAGGTTTTAATTACAAGGAAATAAAAGATTGTTTTCATTAAGGTTGAAGATTTATTTACATATTATCTCAAGATATTTCAATATAAATTATAAAAACAATAAAATAATTTAATATTAAATTTTACAATTTTTTATAATCAAATCATTGAAAAGCCACGTAATTTGTAACACATTGATAATGGAGGAAAATATTAATAAATTTCATAAATAATTAAAAATTAAATTGTAAAATTTAGAAAGTTGGATGATTAAAGTAAAAACTCTCAAAAATTAAATGATCAAAAATAGAATTTGTCTTATTTTTAATATCCAATTTCCTTTTTCAAAATTTATAAATCAAGTGGAATGTCAGACAATATAGCAAGTCCACGTGATAATGACGGAGACTTAGCAATTACTCCTCATTATGTCCCTAATATCTAACATTTGGTGACTTAAAAACAATTTCATGAACCTTATGATTAAATTGTAATTTTTATTAGCTGATGATCAAAATAAAAATACTTAAAAGCTCATAAATTAATCTTGTATGCAAAACTCTTATTTATAAAGAATAAAGATCTACTTACATTATTATAAAATGAATTAAGTTTTACATTCTATCATATCTTTTATACAATTTTATTTTGTTAATCTAACAATTGAATTCATGTAGATAATGTATGCTGTTTTTTTAAAAAAATTGATTAAAATTTATATTTATTTTTTGATAATATAAAATTTTTACAATTACATATATATTATAAATAATGATCTAATTAACTTGAAATTTTACATGATACTTTTTTTTTTTGAGAGACAATAATTATATCTAAGGATTGGTTTCTTAAATTATTATATATATTCACAGTTATAAGGAATGTAAATTTTAAAAGTTTGAAAATTTTACACTCAATTTAATAGATGTTTTTATTTTAATAATTTTTGGTAATTAAATCATTGAAAAGCCACATCGTTTTAGATATGTCGCTAATGAAAATCAAAATATTAATAAATTTCACAAGAAATTAAAATTTGAAATTTATAATATGTTTGATAATCAAAAAAAAAAAAACTCAAAAATTAAATGATAAAAAATGGAACTTTTCCTTTTTAATATCCAATTTTTTTCAAAATTTATTATATCTAGTTGCATGTGGAATGATGTGATAACATCACGTGGTAAGTGACAAAAAACTTAGCAATGCCACTTCATCATTAGATTTGATAATTTTAGATATAACACGATAATATAATACTAAAATAATATAAAAAATTATATATATTTTAAAAAAATGTATTTCATATTTATTTTTATTGATACGAAATTCAATACGACATAATTTATATTTTATACATGTTGATACATCAAATACTTGACACGATGCAAATAATATATTTAATTTAATTTGTCATACGAATAAATATTTAACATATTTAACACGTGTAACATATTTAACACATTTAATATATTTTTATATTTATTTTAATTTAATATAAACATATAAAAATTATTTTAATTTTTAATCTTTTAATTATGATATTTAATTAGTTATTTAATATCATATATAAATTATTTTAAACATTTAATTATGATAATCATTTAATCATTATTATAAAATTATATTTTTATATTAAAAAATAAATATAATATAAATATTAATATTAATTCTATACATTATTATTTTATTCTCTAATCTTTAATAGTTTATCATTTTAAATTTAATACTAAAAATTAATATAGTTATATAATATATATTAAATACATATTAAATGAGTATTAATTTTTTATTTTTTTAATATGTAAGTACTTTTTTATATTATTAATATGCCAAGTTTATTAAGTTATAAATGATGGATAATTTATAGTTATTTATTATTTTAGTCATGTTCTTATATGTATTCGTATTACTCGTATCTATTCGTATATATCTATATTAGTCATATCTATTAATGTATATTTGTGATTATTCGTGTCATATTTAAACAAATTAATTATATATATATTAATCGTATCATGTTACGTGTAATACATATAATAAACATGTCATGTTCCTATTTAGGTTTTAAACAAGTTTTATAATTCGTGTCATATTTGTATTTTAATAATTTTATATGATACTTTTTTTTAGAGACAATAATTATATCTAAGGATTGGTTTTTTAAATTATTATATATATTCACAATTATAAGGAATGTAAAATTTAAAAGTTTGAAAATTTTACACTCAATTTAATAAGATGTTTTTATTTTGATAATTTTTTGATAATTAAATCATTGAAAAGCCACATCGTTTTAGATATGTCGATAATGAAAATCAAAATACTAATAAATTTCACAAGAAATTAAAATTTGAAATTTATAATATGTTTGATAAAAAAAAAAAACTCAAAAAATTAAATGATAAAAGGTGGAATTTTTCCTTTTTAATATCCAATTGTTTTCAAAATTTATTATATCTAATTGCATGTAGAATGATATGATAACATCACGTGGTAAGTGACAAAAAACTTAGCAATGCCACATCATTTTTAAATATGATAATTTTAGATATAATACAATGATACGATACGAAAATAATATAAAAAAATTATATATATGTTTTTAAAAAATGCATTTCATGTTTATTATTATCGATACGAATTTTGATATAACATGATTTATGTTTATACATGTAAACATATATAAATGCGTGACATAATACGAATAACACGTTTAATTTAAATTTTGTTATGAGAATACATATTTAACATGTTTACACACGCATAATATGTTTAACACATCTAATATATTTTAATATTATTTTAATTTAATATAAACATATAAAAATTATTTTAATTTTTAATCTTTTAATTATGATATTTAATTAGTTATTTAATATCATATAAAAATTATTTTAAACATTTAATTATGATATTCATTTAATCATTATTATAAAATTATATTTTTATAGTAATAATATAAATATAATATTAATATTAATATTAATCCTATACGTTATTATTTTATTATTTAATCTTTAATAGTTTATCATTTTAAATTTGATACTAAAAATTAATATAGTTATGTAATATATATTAAATACATATTAAATGAGTATTAATTTTTTTTAATATGTAAGTACTTTTTTATATTATTAATATGTCAAGTTTATTAAGTTATAAATGATTGATAGTTTATAATTATTTATTATTTTAGTTATGTTCTTATATATATTCGTGTTAATCGTATCTATTCATGTATATCCATATTAATCGTATCTATTTGTGTATATTTATAATTATTCATATTGTGTTTAAACGAATTAATTATATATATTAATCGTGTCATGTTACGTGTAATACGTATAATAAACATATCATATTCTTATTTAAGTTTTAAACAAGTTATATAATTCATGTCGTATTTGTATTTTAACAATTTATGTTTTTATGTCATTGTTAGTTCTAAATTCATCGTGTCCCTAGTCTTTAATGGTTGTGACTGAAAAATAGTTTTATAAATATTAATGGATCAAATTGTAATTTTTTGTAATTGGATCACCAAAATGAGAATATTAAGGTCATATTTGGTACACAAAATTATGATAAGATAAAATAAGATAATTTATGAATAAAGTTAGATTAAATAATGTTATCTTATTTTATATTTGATATATACAAGAATTAGGATAAGATAATTATTTATTCATCAAAATTATTCTTATTCAAATTTTATATAATTTAAATTATTAATATAATTTTTAAAGATATAATTAAATATGTAAGTTTAATCCAATATATTAAAAATAATTCTCTTCACTCAATAATGATTAAATAATTTTATGTCAAGAGATGTTAATTCTCCTTACAATCCTTATCCTTCTTTTTAGATATAAATAAAATATGATATAAGATAATTATTATCTTATCTTATCAATAATTTTATGCATTAAACATGATCTAAAAATCTTATAAGATATAAATTAATTATATATACCGAATTCAAACGCGTAGCTTTTAAATATAGAAAAAAATCTATTTATATTATTATAAAACTAATTAAATTTTATTTTTTTTGATATGTTTTATACAATTATATTTTTTTAATCAAACTATTGAATTTATAATCTATTGATATAGACAATTGCATGCTAATTTTTTTTTAAATTGATTAAAGTGTATTTATTTTTTGATAATATAGAAATGTCAACCAATACATATATATATATTATATAAATAGGAATATAATATAATTATTTAATTGACTTGAAATTTTACATGATAATTGAATTTAGTTTTGGTTTCTTAAAATATTATTCATATAAACAATTATAAAAGAACCTAAAACTAAAAAGTTCGAAAATTTTACACCGATTTAACTTGATGTCTCTATTTTGATTGGAAGGCTTTTTTTTATTTATTTAAAAAAAAAAAAACTTTTCTGTCAATTAGCAAAAACCCATTAAAATTCCCACTCCAATGAAAAAAGAGGAAAAATTTCCCTTTTCTGCTCCTTTGTTTTCGTTCTTATGGCTTTCAAAGAAAGGGCTTTCTGCAAATTGCTAATGGCATTAATCTGCTGGTGGAACTGTGAGTGAGCACTCAAACACAACCGTTTGCAATTTCTCAAATTCTGGGTCAGAAGGGTATGTAAATCAAGCTGATTGTGTTCATTAATGGGTATTGCTCAGCTTTTGAATTTCCTTTGAATATTCTGCTCAATTCTTCTTCTTTGCTTTGATGTTGTGATAACAATGAAGAATACTTCCATTATTATCACTTCAGCAGAGACAATTGGTAACAACCCTGATCTCTTAACACAAATCCTCCTCAGATTACCCACAAAGCCTCTCCTAAAATTCAAGTGCGTCTCAAAACAATGGCTTTCTCTCATTTCCTGCCCTAATTTCTGCCTCTCCCACACTCGCCACCACCAAACCAATGGCTTCCTCACACCCACCGCTCTTCTTGTCAAAGGGTACTACACGTTACCCTCTGAATTCGATATGGTTCCTCTGAAGCATAACAGTAGAGTACCTTTCTTTGATTATATGAATAATGCCCCTAACATCAATGTTATTCAGTCTTGTTATGGGTTGTTTCTTTGTGAGTCCGTGGCTGATAGTTCTAAAGATATCATCTCTAGGTACTTTATTTGTAACCCCACTACCAAGAAATTCAAGGAGCTATCTTTTCCTAAAAACCCATTTCAGGGTTCTAAATTTTATGTTAGTATGGCTTTTGATCCTCTCAAATCACCTCATTACAAGATTATTTGCGTCCGCGAAGTGTCTGATAAACCTTCCAAGTTTGAACTGGATATATATTCATCTCAGACTGATTCTTGGAGTCTCTCTAGAATCAGTTTTGGTGTGACAGACTTTATATGTTTCGAGGATGCTGTCTTCTGTAATGGGAAGATTCATTGGAATTGTCATTTGAAGGATTCGTTATACTTTGATGTAGCAAAAGAAAGATTGGAAGTATTGCCTATGCCAATACCAACTATGGAGGCACCTAAGGAACGTAGTCATTTGGGAGAGTGTGGAGGCGTTTTATATATAGCAGTGACCTACTGCATACTTGTTTGTTTAGAATTTGATGTTTTTGAGATGGCAAGTGATTATTCTCATTGGTTCCTGAAGCATCGTCTGTATATTGGGGATTTAGTGAAGGATTTTCCTGAGATTATCTGGAGTTATGATTTTTATTCTCCTGGATTCTCTGATGTGTGTATTACTCAATTTGGGAAAGAAGAAGAACCTAGGGTTGTGGTCTGGATAGAGAATAAAGTAATTTTCTATGACTTCAAGGATGGGGCATGGAAATCGCTTTATGATTTAAGGCCAAGTGTCAACTTTGACTCGTTGGATGAGTGTTATCATTATTCTGATTTGATTTTGCCGTATCAAAGTATCCATGCCTTTCAGTACTTTGAGAACCTGTCTTCTATTTGAGGTTGTATATTTTGCTAGCACCATATCTCCACTCTTCTTTTGTTAAGTAACTGAGAATTGTTTTATGTATTCTTATACACTTGGTTACATTTGGTAGTTCACCTTATAGGTTTTTCTAAGTTTTTCCACCAATAAAACAAATGTTACTATAAGAATCCTTGTTATTGATTATTCAGATCAAATTAGTACCACACATTTTACTCTCATGTGTGTATGTCTGTCCCCTCTGTCCCTTTGGATATATATACACATGCAGATCTTTATGAGCCACTACACTTGTTTTATTAGAAGTACTTTCTGAAATTTGTTTTTCAACATAGCTTTACTTGAACTTTCTGTTGATCTAGCTATTGTTTAGCAAGACAATCCCTGCAACATGCAATGCCCAGTTTTTTTTTTCCCCCTTTTGTTGATGGATTCAGGGTCAAATGTTTCTTATTTTGGTTTTAAGTTAATATCAGCTTTTGTAAATTCTGATAGTTGATGATTATTAGCAAGTGTTGCTTAGTTTGAGTTCTTGCAGTTAATTTCTTGATTCATATCAGTATCTTTCTTTAATGTGGCAGTCATTTTGAATGTTGTTTGGATACTGCAAATATTTGCTCCAAAAAATCGAAAAGTATTTTGTGGTGAAGTTTTTGACTCATCCCTGTTATGAAAAGGATTGGTTACATAGCCTTTTGCTATCAGTTGGATCACTGTGAAACTAAGAGTTGACAGCATTCGCCTTTCTATATGGCCTCGTCTTGGATTTGAACCATTACCCTTTAAACCTTGCTTGAAAAAAGAATTAGCTATATAATTGAAATTTTCGTTACTCTTTTTCCATGAATGTACATATTTATTCTGCTCCATTAGTAGCACTTTGGTGGGCTCTTGGTTCGATTTGGAGCCTGTGCTTTCATTCTATTTTCCATCAAGTTAGTAATCATATATCCTGATGCTTTTGAGTTGTCTTATTCATTCTCTTCCTCTGCTTGTCAGTGCAATGTTGCATCTCCTAGCATTGAAGTTATGTTTGAGTCTTGAAGAGCATCCAACTTTACTACATCTCATACCGTTGCTTACAAATATACGTAACCTTAGAGAAATCAAGCCAAAACTAGTTAAAGAAAGCCTATGAACTGGGCATAATTAGAATGCATTCAAATCTTTGCCACCCTAAGAGCCATAAAAGCCTATCTCCCCTACCAATCTCTCCTTGCTGCATCATTGCTTCCAACAAGTGTGTCACATACAGACAAGAGGCCTCAAAGACAGAACGCAAAAGAATTTTTGGCCTAGGCAACGTATTATTTTTCCCAACGAAAAAATGAAATGACTTGACACTAGATTTAATTCTAATGGACCAAGAGATTGGCTACATTTTGGTACAAGGAAACTACAACAGATTGAAAAAGTACCAAAATGCCACCTTTGCCGGTAGAATTCTATGCAAAAGGATTTCCTCCAATGGAAGCAACAGGCCCTTGGACTGTGACATTCCTGCTAAAATAGAAGACGAATTTTAACTTCCCAAAGCATAATATAATTATGCATGGTTACTTGGGTACCAAAAGTTGTAATAATGATGATAAATTTTGACTACAAAACAACTTACGATAATTGAGAACTTGGTGTTTGGCCAGACATGTATGCTAAGCCACCTGCAGAAATAAACAAACAAATTCAAGTATCTACTTTAGGAAAACTTCATGGTCCATTGTTATACATATTTTTCAAAGGCATCAGTTTTGCTTCTCTTCTTTTCTTTTTCTTTTCCTTAGTGCATGTCGAATAAGATCCATCAAACAACCATCAACTTAATAATTATGGCTCCCTAGTTCCAAGGAGACAAACAAGAACTACCTTGTGGTGTTGCTGGAATATAAGGTGCCTCAGGTTTCTGAGGAAACCATGGTTGTGATACACCACCAAGAAAGGTGGAAGGCAACTGAGCATTAGGAAGTGTTGTTTGTAATGAACTCATATCCAAGAACTGCAATATGCCATAAACAAGGAAGAAATTGATTAGAATAATTTCAGTATTGCATCTGCCCTTTTCCCACAAGTAATGCACTCCAAATCAATGTAAAGCATGTACTATTAAAGAGAAAAGGTAAAACATTATTGATGTTCACCACAAAAAGGTGGTTGCAAGCAAGATACAGATTGGCATTTCATCGATTCACAAATTCTCCTTCAAGTATGAAATTAAGTACATTCATGTCCAACCAGAATCCAGAATCTCAGAGTAAGACCAACCAAAACACAAAGTGAACAAAAGCATGCAATAATACAGATAAAATTATAGGAAATATTCCCTCAAAAGAAATGGTAAGCAAACTGTACAATCCCCCTCCATAGAACTATTGCAAAAAAAGGTTAGCATGGATAAAACAAAGAGACATTCTAACATCAGGTAAAGATCAACCAATTTTACCCAAAAAAACACAGTATAAAGATATTCAAGGATCAACATGCATGATATACCATGTCACTTTGTTCCAATTCAGAATCATAAGGAAGATCAAATGGGTTGGTTGATTTATGATCAGCAGCATGCGACTGTCTCTCTCCCTGCGATATTAAGTTCAAAACCTAAAGAGATTAAAGAAGCACTCAATAACAAACCATACAACACAAAGAACAAAAGGAACTGATAAGTTAAAAGAACAAACCAAAAGCGGATTCACCGATGGAGCATATGATGGTGTTATGCCATTCTCTGATGGTAAAGTAGCAGCAGGGAAACCAGCAAGGGAGGCAGCTGTTTGGATGCCATCATTATCAAGGTTCTGCAGGAACAGATATTTAAACATAAATGGAAAAAAGTAAATCATTGGCATCATTACAAATAGAAGTAGCAAAACCTCTGAAGCTGCTAAGCCCCAATGTTGATCAGTGGTCACCGAATGATTGTACAGTACTCGTGGTTCCAGAGGAAGTGATTCAGCAGAATCATTAAAAGCATTCCATGACTGTTGAAAGAAAATGGATCACTTGACCAGACATTTGACAGGAAAGAAAGAAATTTATATTTCTAACCATAATCATTTGCAGGCCACGCAGTGAAAAACATAAATAAATGCATGCTACAAGAATCATTGTTTCTTATTCTTCACAAAACTGCAATGGACATAAGCAGAGCACATGTTAAAATGTGAAATGGCTTACCTGAATGCTGGTTGCAGCAGTGGAGGCTTGACTATCATGCAAGCCCTCTTGCCATTGACTAGCCATTACTGAAGTAGCTCCAAAAGCGCTAGAATTTTCCAAAAGTGGCCACTGCATGGTTGTGTTTAAGGATGACAATTGATCAAACTTCACTGACAAATCTCCATCACTGGGCATCACAGCAGGCGAACGAATTTTGGCTACCGGATTAGATGCCACATGCTGAGAAGTATCAAATGTTGCCCATCCTTCATTTTTAGGTACAGGTAACTCCGGTGATTTTCCATCAATTGTAGTTGGGGGCTGCTCAGCAATCCCAGCAAATAAGTCTATAGATGGAGTATATGGGGAAGGTTGATATAAATTCGCAGGCGGCATCAAAGCTGCAGGTTCAAATATATCTTTGGAGGAAACTGATGATGTTGCAGGTAGCTGAAACAAATCTATAGGTGGAGCAGCCGAAGCCTCAGGTGTGTTAAAGAGATCCAGGCCGTTATGATTCATAGGAACAGGTGATTGGGTGATAGTAGATGCTTTATCATGATAGAACCCAGCAGTTTGTTCAGGTTCAGATAAAACACCCAGTCCAATGCCTGAATTATATGACTTGACAGGCATGGAATTTCTATCAGATGACCCGAAACTTCCCATGGATTTAGTTCTCTAGATAAAAGAAAATTCGGGTATCAGTTAATGATGAGTTCATTTAACAGATAAAAGTAGTTGTAAGATTACACATGATAAAGCACGTATAACTACAGCAAACAAAGAAAAAGGGTTCATTTACTTGACAACACATGCATCTCACACAATTAGTATCACTATGATCACCTTAGCTAGATTCACATTCCAACAATCACAGAGTTGGCAAAATAACATTACTACTCTATATGAAATGCCAAAAGCATCTCCCAAATGTGCATATATTTATAGGTCTTTGTGGAATGCATTGAGCACGCATACGTGGCAATTGACTATAAATTATGCATTCACATGACTGAAATTTGAATGAAATAAATGAACAGCAGGCTCCACTGGAATATTTTTAGATATGCTATGAGCTACACAATTTATCATGAAAGTTTGAGCTCTCTTCTTGATGTTAATAATCACTATATGGAAGTATCCCACCAGAATACATCAAAGCCTGTATAGTGTTTTGCTTCAAAAAATCATATATTTTCAGATGTGGCACATGACTTTAAAAAAAAAAAAAAAAAGAAACTACTTCTCACTAATAAGATGTAAGTGTGAGATATGTGACCTGTGGGAGTGGGATCCCTCCGGCATCTTTTTTAGAACTTGGATCCACAAAAAAATTAATTGTTTGCTGTTGTGTATCTCCATTTAAAATATCTCTTGAAGGTTGAGCAGGTGGGCTGCCAAATCCAATGTCCTTCTGAAAATTTGGTGACCCTGTACCAGATTTGAATGGATCACCTCCGCTAGATACAGAGTAGTCTGAAACCCTAGGAGCAGAACCTTCATTTGCAAACCTGTCCTCAAACATTTGATCACTTAAGTGACCAGGACTGTAGACAAAACTAGAACCTTTCCCCGCATGGTGGCCTCGATCTGAACCAGGCTTCCTAGAAAGCGCAGCAGCAACTTGTTTTCCATAACGCCGATCTTCATATTGATAGTCATAAGGTGGACTTTGAGAATATGAATGATAAGAACTGGCACGTCTTATCTCATCTTCATTATTTCTAGGGCTCTGTCAAATTCATTCAAGAATACCACATTTAAACCACCGTTCTAGGATTTATTGTGATTTATTCAAATAAAACAGAAGAGACAAGCACATAGAAACACCAGTATCTAAAAACTGGCCAGTTTAATTCCATTTGCATAAATTTGTTTAACAAACACCAAAGTGGGCGGTGGCTCTAAAATGAAAATAGTAATTCAGTTTTCTATAAAGAAAACAGATAAAGTTTTTTCATTTTAGAAAAAACAGAAAATACACAATTAGGAAGATCAACTTCAGACCAAATGATCCACAACCATATTCTCTTCATTTTCTAATTATAAAACATGGTTTTAAGAAACAAAGCCAAGAAGCATAAGGGTTTAGCAAAATTTATAATTTGAAGAATTGAAAGTTTGAAACCACTGTTTATACTAAATACGAAGAAATTACCTGCATGTCTCTTGGAGGCTTGTCAGATGTTTTTCCTCCGGCATATTTTCTTTCCACATATACACTCTTTATAAACTCTCGGATTTTATCAGCGTTGCTGCAATGAGAAAGAGTTATTTGAAAACCCCACATCCGTCAAGAACATGCCTAGTACTTTAAGTGAAAAATCACATATTCTGCACCTGCTGTCAGGCAATCTTTGCCTCTGCAGGTCCCAATCCTTAAGATATATATCTCTTGCACGCTGAAAAGAGTAAAACATAGAACATCTCATCCGCATTATACTAAGCATCCCACTCTTTCCATAGATATCAGCAAATGTAACACTAGTTCAAACCTGATTACCACCATTCTGAAGAGCTTCAACTTCCTGTGAAGTGAACTTTGACATTGATACAGACTTTACACGATGAGTAAACTCACGACTGCAGTACAAATTAATACAAACACAAATGACCACCATGATAGGATTAAAAAAGGTAAAGATTTGAAAGACTTGATTCTGTGATGGCATGTCACTCCACCAGAATCATGTAAAGTAAATACAAGTAAGCAACCACCGACTAAATTGGTAAAAGAAAGATGCAATAACTCCTTTAAGGAACTTAAAATCATCACAATGAGCAACAAAAAAAAATTAAATTGCAAAAATCATAATGCATTGATTTCCACAACATTGATAAAGTTACGTACTACCAAATACGCAAAGATTCACAACAGTGACAATTATTTCTATGGAAAATAGTAGATGATGAAATAACTAAAAAAAAAGTACTTACTGTACCCCACTGCAAGTCATGCAAATGAAAGTCCAAAAATTTGTGCAAACATACTGAGGACCCTGCAACAATAGAACCACAAATTAATATCAAAGAAATATGAATACAAAAATGAAAAAAAATTATCATTAGAAGCTTAAATAAAGATAATTTTTTAGTGTGAGGAACAGTAAATAAAGCTAATTTATATCCTTTTAAATCATGCCGAACAACAGCTTGGCCTGATTTGAGTAGGGAAAAATTTTAAAACCAGAATTTGAAATCTATTAGTGCAGTTGATTTAAAAAGAAACAACAAAGCAAATTTCAACACTCTTTTTAAAACAGCTGATTTACCATCTTGACACTCATTACTATTAGATGCATTGCATTCAAAAAATCAAGAAAACCCAATTTCAAAAACCATTTCTAAACCTCAAACCCATCTTCTTTTTTCCTTTTTCAGTTTCCCAGCCTCCAAACAGACCTTACCTTTCAAAACAGTGGCTAAACTAATTACAAAACAATTAAAAAAAAAAGAAAAAAAAGAAACCCAATTTCAAAAACCATTCCTATAACCTCAAATCTCTCCCTTTTTCTTCTTTTCATCTTTTAATGCTTAACTTTAACATACATCAGCTAAAACTAATTCTTCCCATAATTTGGCAGCCTCCGTAGCACACCTTAACTATAGAAACCCATAAGCCAAAAACTCTTTCTTTTCTTTTTTTTTCTCAAAAGAGAGAGAAGTTTGAGAAACTTTACCAAGCTGTTACAGTTAATACAACGACGATTAGGAGGCAGCTTCATGAGACCTCTTATTATCTTCTCGTTTCTTTCTTCTTCTTTTCTACTTCCCATTTCTCAATACAAACAATTTTGATCTTCCAAAATGAACAAAAGCCTCAAACAAAACCTAAAAGCTTCAAAATTTATCAAAAACCCAGTTGGGATTCAGTACTTTTTGCTCAAAATAAGCCTTATACTAAAGCATAAATCAAAGAAAAATCAGAACTTTAGAGGTTTGGGGTTTTGGAGATTTTTTTGTTAAAAGAACAGTAAATTTCTTAGTCAGCTGTGATTGGGGCAAGGACGCTGTGTGCCTTTCATTTAAAAAAATATAACATATTTAAAATTTAAGGAAAATAAAATCATAGAAAATATTAAAATATTAAAAATTCAACCAACGGGGAGTGGATATTGGCAGGACAAAATTTTTCTGTTTCCACGAATTCTATATTTACGTGAGTCCACGTGATAATTCAATCTCAACTCCATGCAAATTAGTGGTAATAATGAAAAGATATTGTTTCAATCAAAATATTCCGATCTGAAATGAAACAATTTTGTTCATCATCAAAATTGACATATGATAAGAATTTGAAAGAAATGAAGATTATCCAAAAAATAAATAATCTTGAAAAAATTATTTGACACGTTATTAAATTTTTTAATTTCAGAAAATTAAAAATTAACAAGTATTTTATTTTTAATTATTTTTTATGTTTTTAATATTTGTAAGCGATATATGTATCTTATTAATTTTTTTTATGAAATATAACAATTTAATTGCCAAATTTGTTAATTTAAAATTTTTGAACAAGTTGAATATAAAATAACACATAATTTCATGTTAACTCAATAAAATAAAAAATAATACAATTTTTTAATTTAAAAATAAATTATAAATTAAATTTTATTATTGAATTTTCTATTTTCTTGAATTTTGTGACTGAGTATGAGAATCAAATGGTTTAAGTCGTATTACTATATTGATCCTTGAATCAAATGGCTGTCACCATCTTTTTTGCTCAACAATTGTTAAATATTTCTTGTGTCTAAAAAGTGGAGTCCTTGACACATTTATTATTAATCTTTTCTGTTTGTTGATGAAATTGTGTTTGTAAGTGTTAAAAAATACAGCACATCCTATGCTTTGGTAAGTTATTAATGTCTCAACTTTTTCACAAGTGCACCTCATTTCTGACAAAATTAGCAATATCTGATTGACTGTTTGATTTTAAATTTTCCTGACCATTATCACATAATATGATTCTCTAGGGTTGATTTATCAGGTACTTAACCTGATTTAATTGTTTGGGTATGGATTGCTGGCATAAGGTTAAGACTATAATGATTGAGAGATTTCCGTATCTTCTTTTTTCCTTTTTCAGTTTCCCAGCCTCCAAACAGACCTTAACTTTCAAAACAGTGGCTAAACTAATTACAAAACAATTAAAAACAAAGAAAAAAAGAAACCCAATTTCAAAAACCATTCCTATAACCTCAACTCTCTCCCTTTTTCTTCTTTTCATCTTTTAATGCTTAACTATAATGATTGAGACATTTGTGGCTGCATTTTTCATCATGATGGATATATGTAACAGGACACTTCAGATGGTGCTGTTGCTGTTGAAGAGGATGCTGGTGCAGATGAAAGTATTGATGTTGAAGAAACACTTCTTCAGCCATTGCGTCATTGCTCCAATCATACAATAAAGCTTTGGCAAGTAATGATGAGTCCAAAGTTGCTGACATAGAAGCATTTTTAAAATCCATTGAACAAAATGGATGAGAAAGTTGATCTTGAAAAGAAAATGGCTTCTTTGTTAGAAGAATTGTCAGTAGAGAAGGATCGGATTCTTAGAATTAGTGCGGACTTTGGCAACTTACGTAAGAGGACGAAGAGAGAGCGCTTTTCATTGGTAACAAATGCCCAAGGAGAAGTTTTGGAAAATTTGTTGCCCGTAACAGTGGGAAATCTCTTTTGATCCAATGGTGAGTTAATACTTATTACTCTCTGCTCTCCCAACCTTTTGTAGACATGATAAATTCTACTAGGAGCTTCTTCATAACTAAACGCTGTTTCATGATTTGTTGCATTCTATTCTTCCCGAGTCAAGGGCACTTTGATAACTGCGAATGTTCATAGCCTCATTCAAATTTTCTCTTACTATGTTCTTGGCCTCTTCATCATTAAGCTGAGGAGGCAGCTTGTGAACTAACTTTATTTCAAGGCCCCAAATACATGATTGTATTTGATTATCGATCAGAAGAATTAGACTGAATATGAGATTGTTATGGAAGAGAATACAAATTTACTTTAAGATATTCAAGTTATATCTTCAAAAGATGGACATTACATTTGAATATTATATGAAAGGTATCATTTTGGTTTGTTAATTGGCTTAATGCAGGTCAAGTACCGAGTTGGCTTGATATTCGGGCAAGTACTTGATGAGCTTTCTCGAATATTTAATCAAGTTTGTTCAGGTTTTATGAAGACCTGCATAAACCATATCTTGATTGATTCGAGCTGACTTGGTGAGTTTACGAGTAATAATATAAGATGTTGATATGAGTATTACATTTTAGTTGTGGCATGAAAACTTGTAACTCCTTAGGCTAAAAAAGGTGGGTAGATAATGAAGAGAAACTTCATGGGAGCTTCTCTTATTTTTGTGTATTGCTGATGGTACTTATTTCAATTTTCTTACAAATTGCTTTTTGTGTCTCTTGTAAAAGCTGCATGAAGCAATTATGCGTAAGGATTCCACAGAAATTGAAGAAGGTATCATTCTTCAAGAATTTCGCAAGGGATTCAAGATTGGAGACAGGCTGTTGCGTCCATCAATGGTGAAAGTATCAGCTGGTCCAGGGCCTGCAATGCCTGAACAGGGATATTCATCAAAAGAGGCAGATGTAGGTGAAAGCGCAGAGACCAGCGAAACTGTCGACAGCAATGAAACTGCCGGAAGCAGTGAAACTACCAAGACCAGCCGGGAGCAGAGTCTCCTTGAACAAGCAGCACATAGGATTCAATATTACCGCCACTGTTAGGACTCAAATTATGGTGGTTCTGATTGTTGTAGGTGATAAATGTCATTGTTAATTTTGTTTCTTTTTGGAGGAATTTAATTTTACATTGATATGAAGAAATAGCATGCGTTGGGAACAATTTCTTTCTCTTGTTATCCCTGCTTGCAACCTTGCCAATGGACATACACAAACATTTAACTTGTTAATGGCTGTTGTGGCAAAACCATTGCATTAGTTAATTGAGTGGAATGTGTATTCTACGTAAGACATCAGTTATTCTCAATTGCATTGGATTTTTCTTGTTCAAGGCTTTACCTATTGCCCATGATTACTTTTAGAGCTGACAAAAATTGACCCTGAAACACTCTCTTAATCGGTTTGAATTTAATTTGGACCAATTTGATTTGATATAATTATAGTTATATTATAATACATAAAATTAAAATTCAAAATCAAATGTTTAACTTAAAAAGTTATATCCAAATCAACCAGGCCACCATGCCAATACAAATTCTAATAAATACTATTTATTTTTCAACAACACGAATTCCAAATTTATGCCCTGTTGCCTTCTCTCCTATTATGACATAAACTACCAAAACCCTTAACCACATAACAAAAAACCATTACTAAATACCAAGTCTTTTGTCAATAATAATACGATATGTTGGTAAAATTTTAAATTTTTTATTTTAATGATAAAAACTTAATCTCTGATAATTTTATATATAAAAAAAAATTTATATTTGATACATTATTAATGTATAATTTTTTTACATTGTTAATAAATCAGATGATGATAACTCATTAATCAATAAATATCGACCCTTAAAATAAATATACACAAATTAAAATAATTTACTCATTAATGAGGTATTATCATTAGATTTATTTCATTAATGAGTTGTCCTTATCTGATTTACTAACAATGTATAAAATAATAATATATCAAATATAAACTCTAAAAAAAATAACTTACGGCGACACCTCTATCTCTTTTTTTATTGGATATGTATTCATTATTCAAGAAGCAGTAAAATACTACTACGAATGTCAACAACCTGTACCTGCTATTTACTATTCAAACATGTTTCTACATAGCTCCCATCTCTCACAAAGCTATATACATGATCACAAACGACACCGGACACCCTTTAATCCCAGAAATCCTAATCCTACTACATCCTTGATCTACCCTTAATATTTGCCTCCCACAACTTCATCTGACCTGTAGAGTCTCTTGTTCCTTTCTGCCCAAATCCAATATATGTATGCCCCCATGCTGGACGAAGCAGAAGAGATAATAACGCCTTCCCTCAAAGCCTGCTAACTGCCCATTGGAGCTCTCTTTCCCATCCAACAACCTCTTCGCACAAATTGCATAAATCAGCACTTTTGCCATGCATCTTTTGAGTAATTACAACTGAAAAATATATGGTCTCAGCTCTCTTTCTCCTGCTTACAGAGTACGCAGTCTCCATCTGTGTAAATTCCACATGCAACCAGTCTATTTTTGGTTGGCAGTCTATTAAGTATAGCCATCCAAGTTATAATAGCAAACTTGAGAATATGCATCTTACACCATAAAAGCTTGTGCCAGCTCACCTTTTCCTGCCTTGCCCTTAATTCATCCCATACACCTGTTGTTGAATATCTAGGACTCCTGTTGCGCTAAGCCCACTCCGGTCTCTATCTTTATCAAGAACTTAGAAGTTGTACTACGCATTTGGAGTAGCTTTTCATGATCCAACTATGGCTCTGAACAATAGGCATGTCTCATATGCTTCTTCCTTTTAATACATATCTTTGCACCCATGTGATCCATAAGGAGCTAGCTTGAGCGAAAATAGCCCACACTAGCTTAAGAATGCAAGCTTGATTCCAAGTGTTAATATCTCGCAACCCTAGTCCTCCTTCAAACTTAGGTTTACAAATCGCCTGCCAGTTGACACAAGCTCCCTTGGCTGCACTCACCTGTCCTTTCCAGAAGAACATTGAACAAAGCTGATTGATCCTTTTTATAAACTTCTAAGGAAGAAAATTGCCTACACCAATAATCGTGTATACTATAAAATCACCAATTGAATCAATTGTAATTTGCCAGCATAGGAAAGATGTCTTACTGCCCAGCTGTTTATATGTGCTGTAATCTTCTCAACCAATAGAATACAATCTGTCATGGAAAGTCTTTGTGTGACCAATGGAACTCCAAGGTATCTGACCAGCAGGGTGCCCAACTTTAGACCTGTTATTTGCAAAATTTCATCTAGCTTTGTACTCGGAACCCCTATGCAAAATAGTTCACTCTTTGTACAGTTAAGTTGAAGACTGGAATAAGTATAGAACAGCTTTAGTATATTTTGGATGCCAACAATTGAGTTCAACTACCCTTTTGTAAATACGAATAGATCATCAACAAAACAAAGATGTGTCAATTGGACTTGTTTGCACTTCGGGTGGTAAGAGAATACTCCATGCAAGCCAG